GAGAAGCATCCCTGCACGATCGAGCAAGGGGTTATGAAGTGTAAGACTGCGTCGAGGTTGTTGGAGGAGATTCACAAGTATATGTTCATCACTCTTGGAGACAGCAATGTCGACGTCTGATGAAGATGTGTTTAAAAAGTATTTGCCATAGTGAACCGATTCAGAAAGTCTTGTTGGGGGTCGATGCTCAGCAGGATCACGCTTTCTCCGCCGCCCATCATGACGATCAGGCCAGAGAAGCTGAACGCCATACCCAAGACATTTTCTTTGTGTCCGAGTGCAATTATCACATCTTGGAGTTGTCCTATCACAGCCGATCTTGCGCCCTGCACTTGTCAGCTTGGAAATGACCATAGGATATGTCATCTTACGTTTACAGGTCCAACAGCTTTGTTTCGGCAGCATCTTCGTCTTGCTATTTAGCACTGACTGAATCTGAGGACTCGCGTTCTGATGATACTAATAGCAAGACCTCGGATGAATTGTTAGTTTGTTTCGGTATCTTGTCTCTTCATGGCTCAATGTGTAATGGAAGTCAGCGGGGTTCAGAGTATGATACGTCAGCCGCCAATAATCGCCATATTCGTAACCCAGCCCAATCAGGCAATTCGACCCAGCATTTCATAGTGCCTGATAAGTTCAAGGTTGGCGCAGTACAAACTGGAAACGGACTGACTGAATGCCACGAGAATAGCTATATCCTAAGACATTAGGCTATTGGCAAGTTTTGCAATTGGAAATTTGAGAAGACGAGTAACTACGAGCGCTATCATAACAACGAATCCACGAATGATCCAAACCTCCACAGAGAACAAACTCGCCATGGCGATGGTAACACGACCCTTGGATAAGGCTAGAGAGAGACCGCATCACGAGATCTTGCCTCGTCACTAATCCACGATGACATGCTTTGCCACCTTCTCGTTGACTTTGAGACTCAGCAGGTCAGGCCGCGCATAATGCCCAACAACATCAATGAAAGCCTTGGGCTTATCAATATCTCTCAGATTGACCACAGCCGTGATGATGCCCTCTTCGCCGTCACCGATAGGCTCTGCAAGTGGCTTGCCGTCAGGCCCAAAGATCATCGAGAATCCACCACCTGGCTACATCACCAGTCAGCAGTCTGTCCATCTTCAAGTGAAGTCATCTTACTGTTTTTGTAACAGGATTGCCTGTAAGTCCATTCCTTTCCAAGTTCTTCTCAGTGAGAACCTGTGAGGCCACAGCGACAAAAGTTGCCCCTTCGATGGCCATGAACTGACTTGCGCGATAGCTCGCCTCGCCAGTCTCATGGTACAGCCAAGCAAGCTTTTCAGGGTCTGGCATCTCAAACTCAGCTGGCCAGCTGGCGATATGTATTTGCACACCCTGCGCATATTCATTGTATCGAAGCAATGGCTGCAAATGCTCCCAACAGTTCAAGGCGCCAACCTTTCCGAACTTGGTATCAACAACGACTTTGAGCGATTCAGCTTGTCCTTCACCCCAGATTGTTCGTTCCACGTGAGTTGGCTTGATCTTCCGTCGATGATGGATGATTTTACCATCTGTATCGATGAATGACTGTCCCATATACAGGCTTGCTCCATCTCGCTCACTGTACCCGAGAACGACGAACATACCTGCTTTCTTGACGGCTTGTTGGATTCGTTTCATCTGAGGTGAGTCCCGGCGCATTGAATTGGCCATGTACTCGTGGATCCAAGCCCCGTTGTTGATGACTGGTGACGTCCACATCTGCCTGCGTAGTCGAGTTAGCACCACGCGTATATAGCAGATGAAACCGTCCCAGCTGACAGATTTCGATCATACCATGGATAACCGGGGATCCAAACTTCGGGAAACCCAAGTACTTGAACTCCATCGGCGGAAGCTTTCTCGATCAAGGAGATGGTTTTGTCAACGCTTCCTTCAAGGTCGAGCCATACAGGCTCTGCTTGCACAGCACCGACTTTGACACCTTGGTCCATGATAGGGAGAGTAAATATTGTTATTACAAGTTGAGGAAAGACAAGATCCGGATGGCGCGCTCTGCTACTTTTCCATCTTGATGCTGAGGCGAGAAGGCCTATTTATACGTGGCCAAAGTATTCATCTTTCAAGTCTCATGATAAGTGAATGCTTCATGATGGTAGTTGGTGCAGGTGACATGCCGAGATCCGTGTCCAAAGATGTCTCAAGGAAATAGTTTGCGATCTCAAGCCCAACAGACGTTGCATCGTTGATACCATTGCTCCAAGACAAGCAATAAGATCCACTATGGTGCACGTATCATAAGACCTGATTACTTATCGTATAATTATGGCCTATTTGGGATACAAAAGCCGGCATCTAGCCTCCTGCTTGCTACTACCCCGCATGAACTAATGGCCAAGTTCGCAAACTCATGCCTCACGATTTTCACTAATGGGTCTTCGATGGAGTCAAATTGAATCCAATGACTAACTTATGTGCTACAAAGAAGCACACTCGACTTCAGTGACTGACATTGTGCATCCAGGAGGGCGCCAAAATTGCATCCGATTATAACACCTCATATACCTCAACATCATCTTTCCGTCCAAGTTATGCCGCTGGTGGCATCAGCGCATCCACATCAGGACCCCATCCATCATCATTGGAAATGGTGATCGTGTTATCTGACCCCTCCTTCAGATCAAAGAAACCCCTGCTGAGTCCCGTCTGAGAAAGATGGCTGGTAGACAAGAACGCAAGCTTCTGAGATTCGCCGTTAACGTTGACGGTGGCATATCGTGATCCGGTGTCGCCATTTCGGTACTTGACGTTGATAGTTGCTGTTCCGCCAGAGCTCTTGATGTTCTTGAATGTAAGAGTGCCTTTCTTGTCACCTCCGATGTAGCCGACGGCTTTACCGCCACTGCATTCGCTGCATGAGATGACTCTGGCATCATTACCCATCGTGGCGGTCTCACCCTCAATCTTTGTCATCTTTGTCTCAGACCAAGTTTCCTTTGAGAGGTTCGGCGACCAAGAGTCGTACCAGCTGAGTGTAACCTTGTTGCCATCAACCTCGAGGGGAAGCCAGACGTAGGTGCTAGCAGCAAGGTTTGTAGAGACCCAGCGATCACCGATGTAGATGGCGTTGCCGTTGCCAAGAGGCTGAATGTAGCTGACCTGGCTCTGATAGGTCTTTGATCCCACAGGTGCAAACTCGGTCCAGTTGGACCATGGACCAGATATCGACTTGGCGTAGCTGTAGATCTATTGTGATGTTGAATTAATAAACTTGCAGTATAGACAAAGGTCAGGGGGGCCGCTTACATTGTCATTGGCATTCCAGCCGGTCAGATGAGAGCCAAAGATAAAGTAGTATCCGTTCTGCTTCAGCATAGCTGGGGACTCAGCAAAGTACTGCCACTCGTACGTGATCTCAGTGACGTTGAGGTAGTCGTCTGACAATGCCATGATTCGCGTTCCATACTCTCGCTGTAATTTGATCAGTTCCTGTCCTCAACCAAAGCGCACAGTGAAAGGCTTACGTCTTCAGTCAGGAGATATGCTGACCCATCATCATCTTTGAAAAGTCCCATATCACGACTCTGCTTACCAAGAGGTCTGAAGCTTCGGTAATAGGTATACTTACCGCATACACTATCACCAGTTGCGATACCAACCCGCGCATCCTTGTAGTCTGGGCTGTCGATGTGCATGTAAAGAACATACTTCTTTGTCTGGTCGTTGTAAATGACCTTGGGTCTCTCAACGATACGGTTGGGACCGAGGTCCCCTGCATCGCTGGTGCGGGAGAGGAGAGCGCCTCGGTATGTCCATTCGACGAGATTGGTGGAAGAGTAGCAGTTGACGTTCTGGAAGTATGTTCCGTCGGTCTTATCCTCGCCGATCATGTAGTAGGTTCCATCAACCTCACTTGGAAAGTCAGATCTCTGTCCGAGAAGATGGAGTGTGACACTTACATCAAGCCGTGGCCATGAGCTTGGACATGCTCACCAGTGTTGGTCTAAGGAGAGTCCGGTCAGCAAGTGATCACACATTGAGCTTTGAGTTGACTTACAGCTGTCCATGTTGCTCCGGATACGATGTCAAGAGAAGCCTGCACCGTGCTGGCTGCAAGGACAGTAACAAGAGTCGAGAAGAAGCGAGGCATCGTGCGATCTGGCATGGGACTTCTGCAGTTCTTGGAGCTTGATCTGGACCAACTTGAGGATTACTCCAGGTTCTTATTATACTTCGCCCCGGCTCAATTCTCTTTGCGGTATGCTCGGACGCCGGCGAGACATGGCCCGACGTGAAGAATCTCTTTTCTGGGGTAAGTCTCCGTTACTTTACACTCGACCTCTTCTTAGCTCTACTCGGGTATTCGGTACTTGAAAACCAGTTTAAGTTTATATGATCGACATTGCAGTTTCCTCCATCGGCTTTTTTCATATGCGCACCAATTTGGAGACTTTGGTTCAATCATAGGAACCTTCCTTTGTGAGTACTTCACATGATCTGCCGGCCCATATGCGGGGCCGACGTAAACAAGGAGTGAAAGGTCTGGGGTAATCGACAGGGGGAGATGGAGTGATGCCCGGGGGTGTCGGAGCCGGGAAGAACATATCCTTGTTCCAACGTTACCTGAGCCAAGACTTTTGCACCTCGTGGTGCATGTTGCATCGGACCATCGACGGAGTAATGGCATGCTTACTTCACCGTCTGAACTCTCATACCGTGTCGCAAATCCAGCTTGACAGATGCGATGGTTCAGTTGAGGTTCGTGGCGACGTGCAGTCAATGGTACGTCCTCTGCCAGGGGCTCGGAATTATACATGGAGCGTGATAGAATCATTGGCCGTGCGAAGATACGTGAGACCGCTACTGTCGTGACAGGACACTACGTAGTCCCGAAATGATCATTTCTTAGTTTCTTCGATATGGCAGAGTATTACAGAGGTATATCGTTGTAGATTAACCAGGCTCTTTGAGATCTATACGCATATCGACAGACAGCCTTCTATACCACAGCTCACAGCTGTCTAAACATCAATAACCTTTGCCTCATTCTGGTTCATGGTCGCCCGAACCGTCTCAGCAGTCCTAGGCTCTAGCGACTTCTTAACAGGGTTAGGGGCATCAAAGACCTCATTAAGCTCCTCCAGTGTCCTGTCCTTCGTCTCTGGGAAGAAGAAGAAGATAAACGCAGCCTCAAGCAGGTCCCAGAACACGAAAACCAGATAGAAGTAGTAACCGATCTTCTCAAAGGCTGGCCCTGAAGAGTAGGCCAGGACAAGGGAAATACAGCTGGATGCCCAGTTACCCAGTGCTGTTCCCTTGGCTCGTGTCGAGGTAGTGAGTGTCTCTGCGATGTACATGCTTTGCTGAGCCGTCCATCCAAGTGAAAAGACGACGCCGAAGAGGAAGACAAAGGCGATGGTGGTATTCGCTGCGTTCTTGTTGCTTGGGTCGTCAACTGCCATCTTGGATGTTCCTGTGATGACAGCGAAGATGACTGAACAGAAGAGGATGCTGTAAATGAGAAGAGGTCGACGGCCAACACGGTCAGTCAGACGGGCACCGATGACCGAGCCGAGGAGTCCAAGAACGCTGTTGGTAGCATTAAGAGCAAGAACAAGCTTCTCATCTTTGATACCAGCCGTGTTCATCATAGCGACGAGGTAGTAGCTTGAGAGCGAGTTACCAGATGCTTGACCCATGATAGCCATACCGAGAACACAGATGAGACGTCGCTTGTTGCTGTGCGAGTTCCAGAGCTCACGGTAGTCCCACCATCTCTTGTCTGAAGCCTCAGTCGAGATCTGGGCCATCATCTCCTTCATCTGAAGTTGTACAATAGGGTGGTCGACTGATCCTTCGCCGTGATACTTGGCGAGGATGGCAGCAGCTTCATCGTGCTTGTCATTGGCGATCAACCATCGGGGCTATCACTAGGTCAGTAAGTGAACGGTGGTGATATTGACAAAGAGACCTACAGATTCAGGGAGGAAGAATGCAAAGATTGCTACAACGCCAGAGGTGACGAGCTGGATCCAGACTGGGACTCTCCAGCCATTGTCGCCTTTGATGTAAGCGCTTCCATAGGTTGCCCAGCCAGCAATGATAGCTCCGACAGGCCACATGCAGTTGTAGAGACCGGTGAGCGTACCTCTCCACTAAATTCTTGTCAGTAACGTTTTGGTAGTCTTGGCAATGCTGCTTACCTTGGGGTGAGCAAGCTCGCTGACGTAGGTTGGGGCAGCGATACAGCAGTACGAAACACCGAAGCCGAGGAGGAATCGACCACCCATGAACTGAGGCATGGCTTTCGCAGTTGCCCTTCGCCTTGTTAGCGCTGCCGGCAAAGTTTCGAGGTAGTTACTCACTGAACACAAGTGCCGATGATGATGATGAGAGCACCAGTAAACATTCCGGCGCGGCGTCCAAAGCGATCAGTGGTGAAAGGGACAGTTGGGGCTGCAGCAATGCTGCCAACGTTGTAGATCATGAAAACAATGCCAGTAGCAGAACCATCAGATTTCCTGTAGCAGGTCAGTCAAATGTCACTCCCCGCGAGGTTAAGAACCTACATGTCAAAGGTTCGCTGATAGGACTTCATTCCGTTCAATCCACCCATCAAACTGCCATCATAGCCATTGAGACAACCACAGCAATACGCCACGAAGAGCACAGCATAGAGCTGAAACATAGACGGTGTCCATGGTGAGAACTTGTTGTTCTCAACTTCGTGCGCAATCTCAGTTGCGAGTACCTCTGGCGGCAAGTCATTGGTCAGATCGCGATGGAGTACATCGGACTTCTCGAGCTCGTCACGCTTCTCAGACATGATGTTGACCTTGTGTACGTGTCTTTGGGTAAAGTTGAATGACACAATGGAAGGGAACAAGCATCAATGAGAGACTCAAGAGAAGAGGAGCGAAGAGAGAAACCTCTTTTATAGATGACGATCCCAAAATGGACTCATGTTTCCGCGTTAGCTGTTTCTAGCCAACCGGTCGGCGCCGCAGCCGAAGTTCACCGGTCGTTTTGCGAAAATTAGGCATGGCTCTTCGGTTCGTGAATAAACTCAGTGATAAAATCCGGGGTAGAGGCAAGGAACCAGCATCAAATGGCTCCGGGGAGTCTGCGGGGAAATTCTTAAATCTGATAAAGATCGACAAAACGCTTTGAACTTGGCGACATCGACTCCGGCTCCGACATCCCCGATCGAAGCGCTCCAATTGATTTGGGGACGAGTGGAGAGGGAGAGTCACATGGAGCAAAGACATGCCAGCCTCTCCCGATTCGCACTCGTGCGATGCCTTTTGATTTAAACTTGGGTCTCGTGTTTTCTTGCTACCAGAGGCCAGCTTAGCCTAAGGTAATAAAATAAACTCTATAAAAGGTATCCTAAACTTATCCTAAATTTATACCAAGTTACCTAAGTCTTTTTACAGTTATGTTTAAGGTCATCAAGTTTTATTTCCTCCCTTAGGCTAGCTACTGACTTGAAATAAATCTTCTAGGATAGCTTGTAATTCAAGGCATTCAACGTGGCAAAAGACGGATCAGAGTCGATTGGCATTTTGTGACACGGACAAAAATAATTGACAAGACTGGGATTCGAACCCAGGCCCCTTTCGAGACTGCGAATCGTTACTAGTTCGAATCGAACCTGAACACAGCGCCTTAGACCGCTCGGCCATCTTGCCTTTTGATTGGATGGACACTGAGTCCTCTTAGTACCCTATCAACAGCAGCATCGGCATCGTTCAGTCTCATTGTTCCAGAAAGTCAAAGAGCTGTCCACGAGTTAGCAGCAGCCTCCTTTCCTTTGCTACCGCACCTAACAAGGCAAGACCTATCAAGTCAGCTCTGTGGAGGCAGGCACTCCACTCTCTCTGTTCCTACCTTATGGCTCCTCGGCCTCCCTTTTGTTTTTCGCCTCGTCAGCCAAGTCCGGTTCTCGCAGCTTCAACATCAACAACCTTTATCAAAAGTTGTCAAAATTCATCATCAATCATCAATCATCAAAACTCATCATAAGTCATCAAAACTTACCACATCTTCTTTAAACTAATCAAAATTCATCAAAAGAGCACGCTCAGGCCTCGCGATCAAACGAACAAAGAGGTAAGGCGGGCACCAAACTCCGTGTCAAACTACCAACTAACCAAAACGCCAAGGCAATGGACAGCTCACAGAACCAGGCTATCAGGGATCGTCAGCGACAAAACAGGGAAACCCTGATTGCAGAAAGGAAAAGGGAACTTGAAGGGTTATGGCAAGACAGTGAATAGTGCCCCCAAACATTCGCCCCTACAGACCCCGACAATGTCGACATCTTGAGAATTATGCTCAAAATCTCAATACTACAAAAAGAATGTAAAGAATGTGGTAAAAAGCCTGAAGATCTGTGGGAAGAAGGTGGAGCTTTGCGCAAGGCGGTCGGAAATTCACGAAGTCGAAGGCTGACATCCGCTGCTGCCTAGAAGGCTTTTGATGAACTGGAAAGTCAGGCAGCTCAACAAGGAGGCGGCGGGAATTGAGAATGGTCCGATACCTTATGGAGAGGTGCTGAAGAAGTAGGATTTATACAAGCAGATTCACTTCCAGCAGATTCACTTCCAGCTGCAATGTCTCCAGCATGAATGCACTTCGTTTCGCCAACACCATCGACAGAATCGAGTTTCTTGCGGACACGAACCTGGTTGCCATCTCGAACAAGACGTTCTTCACCCAAGTCAAGCTAGAAATGTCAGTCAATTCACGGATTTATTGCCTTATCTTGGCAGACACTCAATGATCCCGGAGGATGTCAATCACGTATCAAAGTCCCATACGTCTAAACGCTACACTGATGAGCTGTTGGTGTCAAGCATAAATACTCCTCCTTCTCTTCTTACTCGTTCCCCAAGCAATATACCAAGATAACTCCATTATGGCTTACCGACAGAACGATCATGAGCGAACACCGCTCGCGTCTGACAGCCAGGCCAACAACGATGCTGCTTACGAGGATTACATGAGACGTTACCGAGCCCGAAATCCCAACTCAAACTGGGAACCCAAGACGCGAAGGATGGCCGGGCCAATGTATAACCCAACGCCATGGCTATCGCCTGCCACTACTCCTGACTACCGCGAGCGGGATTTTCTTGATCCTTTTGTAGTTTCTGATGGACACCGTATTACGCCGAGACTACCCCCACCACGTGAATCCCCAAGAGTTGAACCTCGAGGGGTTGAGCCTCAAAGAAGACGGGACCCTGATGAAAGCCCGCAGTGGGAATACGTTCCCGGTGAAGGATACAGGCAAGTTGAACCAGGTACCCGTTCGGGAGCTAACCAGCAGCACTACTCGAGGAGAGCGAACGAGCAACAGCGGCAAAACGAGCGTAGATTCTTGAGTGATGTGCAATCTGAAGTTGGCAGGGATAGTGGATATCCTCAGGTCAGTAGAAGCTACCAGGCCGACAGAAGAGAGCCTCAAGATACCAGAATGGACCGTAATACTAATACTCGAGCTCCTATTCCGGATATGTGGACTGCTACACCAGAAGCAAGGGAGTGGATGGGAAGAGTGCAGCGGGAAGTGAACATTCGAGGTAGATATCCAGGAGCTAGTTTCAGTGAGCGAAGTTTCTGGCGTCGATAACCTCTCTGATATTTAGATCAATGATAGTCTACTTCGTAGTTTAGCATAGTCGCATTTTACCCATTCAAACATGATTGATCGCGCATTGCAAATTGGGCATGATCCTTGGATGTGATTGACACGGAACTCCCAAGAAAGCACAGATCCAGGGTAAGCTAACGCTTGGAGCCCGCAATATTTGAGTCACAACGGGAGGGCTCAAGCATCACTCCAAACGGGTGGGATCTTTGAAGGCAGAATCAGTCTCAATAGACTTGCATTCTCAGATCCCGGAAGCAGTTTGTATCAAAGTAATTCACCCACGTTGAGCGTTTTTCACTTGTCAAGGTTCATGAACCCCACCCACAATTTGGGCACACCAGAAATTATCCACTGAAGCGCAAAAACGTTCCTACCCGACGTCATGTCTTTATTCAAGGCCTACCAATATTCTCGTCTGTGTCTCCAGCACCAAAATTACATTATTCAACCTTGAGCGCGATTGTTTCAGCGAAATTCCACTTCCCTGCAATCCTTGGTTATCGTTGATGACTAACGGTCGCGAGCCCAAAATTTCTGCCACCAGCATCGCTGAAGCAAGCTCCTCCTCTTTCCAACTTGCAACTGTCAATCAACACACCAAAGGCTCAAAGCAGCACAAATACAATCTATTCCGCACCGAAATGAATCACTCTCGATTACTGTCTCTGCAACTCGTCTCCTTTCTCGCACTCGCACCTCCGTGATCAGGCAACTCGACCTGGCTTGCCCCAGCGCCGACGCCTTGCCAGCTATGCATGACCTGTTCATCGCCTGCAACACCGTGAACCCAGTACATTTTGTACTCGAATCAATCGGACGCCATTTACGGCCCTGATTTCGCATTCTCCGACCGCTGAAGTTTCCCCCCTTGCTTGCAATCATCATCGCCTGACAACCTTCGCGTCTCAGCCCGCGTCTCAGCCCGCGTCAATTTTGCATTGCATGTACAAACGATCTGCTTCCTACGCCCTGACGCATACCATTTCCTCGAATCCATACCTCAAGATGACCGTATAATACCGTCGCAAAACGAGCGGCTTCTGTAACACCGCAAGCGTGCCTACAGTCGACCGTGGCTGTCCGAGCCGTTCGAGCAGACCTGTTGTGAAATGATGCCGAAGAATACATGCTCTACCTTGAAAATGGTCCCTCCGACATGAACAGCGTAGCGCACGCGGCCTTCATGCTTTCAAGCAAGACCAAGAGCTCCCGCTGCATTCCTCGACTTTATCCCACGTGTCTTCGCAGCCCTTGGGGTACCACAGAGGCCCGCTCTTTTCCGAGGAGTCGCTGGTGAGGTACACCGCATTGACTTGCCATGATCACGACAATTGCAATGAGAAGAGCCGACCTGAACACCGCTGCGTAGTCCGGCCGGGTGCCGATCGAGATGGGCAAGCAGCTTTCTGCATATCAACAGAACGATAGCCAGAGCGCAGCACGAAGTCTCCGGCTGGCGAACAAGTCGAAGTTACGGACGAAACTCTGGTGTTCCCACCAGCACCTCGTTGCTGCCGACCGAATCGAAGCCGTGACCGCCAGCATGAACGAAGATGCCACACCCTCTCTTTCGCCTCCATGAGAGGGCACCCGACCAGGCCTGTATGTAGTCGCTACGGTCGACACTGGGCGGCACCAAGTCGTTTCGCGACCTTGCTTCATGTGGTCAATCGACTTTGCCATTGCCGCCAATACTGCCTACATATATGCAAACTGTATTGCAGGCACAAAGCCCTGAAAGCTGTATCTGGAGCACTGGGAACTCGGGAATTTACACGCCCCCGTTGTTGCCGAGCTGATTTGTTTCGATTCGCTGCACAGTTTGCGCCTGGCTATGCGGACCAGCTCAACTCTCACGAAGCGAAAGAGACGAGCCACATTTCATCAGTTTCGCCCTCGAAGTCATCGCCTACCTCCTCATGACTCATGCGGTGCTCGCTTCGTCGTGGGTGTCGCCGCGAGAAGCGGCCTGCTCCAATTCTAGCGCCATGCTATAATTATTCACTGTTCCCGAGCCTGTTGCTGTGAGCAAAGCTCTCCGAGACGACTTCAACATCCCTTTAAGCCTTTCCCCGATGCTCAGGGCCTCGTTCTGTTGTCTGTCACCGGCCTGGAATGCAGGCCAGCGACTTGTTGTCGACTCGTGAACCAAGTACCTCAATCCTACG